TAGGAAGTCCATGGGGATTACAACTGAGATGAAAAAATGCGCAAAATGAAGAATGATGTAAATACATACATACATATATAAGTAAATAGAGTGAATGAACAAATGAACAAAATGAATGAATGACTAGGCCTAATTCAATGTTCCTGTTTCAAGAAATAAGAGGTAATCTGAATATTACATTGGAATAAGTGGGCAGCAGGCTCAGAATAGTGAATGTACATTATTTCAGGTTATTTTGAGACCCTCAAGTTCTGAAAAAAGAAATATATGTGTTTGTGTGTGTGTATGTGCATATATACATACACACATATATTATAGTTCACATTATAATTTATTACTGGAAGGCTTATAAGGTAGAATGATTTTTTATCCATACAAATAAATTGGGAAACCCTTAACCTCTTCTAAAACCTCAGTTTAGACCAGATTTCAACTCATCTACTATTCTATAATATACACATAACCTACTAATCTGACAAAACTGAATTTTACTTCCTATTTCTATTTATATGTCCTCCTTTGTGCATTTCAGGGAGTTGGATGGTCAGGCCACAGACAGTAAAACAAAGGAACATAAAGCTGCAATTTACAGAATGATGAGAGAATGACAATTCAGATTCATGACAATGTGAGATATTCCACTGTTTTGCATTATACAGGAAAATATGTCTTGGATAGTATGTCAACAAAGTATGAAAAATCACACAAAACAGATGTACCACAGCAAGAATTGCATTTCCATTTTTATTGGACATATTTACTAAATCACTCACATTGTATAACAACTCATGCATAATTCTAATGAGCTATTTCCTTTATGTTAGCCTTTTAAGTTGATGTGCTTTCCTTAAAGTGACATTGATAGAATGCCAGTCACCTCTGAAGGCTGGGCTAAGGGTCATTCCAGCCCTTGCAAAACCAAAGAGGAGTTCAACTAAGTGTCTTCTTCAACTCTTCTTCATCTTGGCCACAGACACTGTCTGCTTGGGAAATAGTCTTGCTACTTTTAAAACCTCATTTCCATTTGAAGAATGCTATTCCCAAACTGCTTTGTGCCACTCATTTTCAATCTATATAAATTCATTCCCAGATCCAATCTCAGCATGAGATCACTTAATAAGCATTCCCAAAGGGCACTCTCCTTTTTTTTGGTGTTTTCCAGAACTCCACAAGGAAAGAGGAGGTTAAAAAAAGTCTGTCTGACCACATGGCGCGGCAGACCTCTCCTGACCCGCCCGCTGCTCCCCTCAGCAGTGTACTTCGTCGATCTGCCTGTTCTGCTCCCCAGTCTGTCTCTGGTGAAGCCTCTCGCCGCCCCTGAGCCTCTGGCCTGTACCCCAGTTCTGTATGTACAATTAAATATATCTTTAAAAAAAAAAAAAAAAGTCTGTCTCAGTGGGGAATGTGATCAAAAAAACAGGGATGGAGGGGGTGGGGGGTGGGGGGAGGGAAGTGCACGGGACTATGGTGATGGCACATGGTGACTTGGTGATAGGAAACCTGAGGGATTACAATTGAGATGAAAAAAATGTACAAAATGATGTAAAAATGAACTGTTTTTTTTTTTAAAAAAATAGTCTGCCTCCCTTCAAGCTAAGGAGAGCTGAGTTATCATCACCCTTAGGCTTGAGATGACTTCAAAACGCAGGGTGGCTTTTGACTTAACATAAAATACTTTTCCAACTAAACAATTCATTTAATCCAGCAGTTTCGTAGTCATAAGCAAATACCTTCTGGCCTGTGGACGACCAGAAGTGAGTTTATTAAATGACAGGTCCTTCTTACTGTTGACAGGAGCAGATGGGCTCCAAGGCAAATTATTTCTCATTGGACAAAAATAAACCTGATAAATGGCAAAAAGTGAATTGAAGCATTTTTCAAATTATTCACAATGTGTAGGAAGATAGCAATATCTTGCAATTAACTCATCTGGCCATTTTGGTAGTCCTTATGGCTTTTAAATTCAAGACAACTTAAAGAATTTATACATGCATACCCATACACAGGAGTCCATCATTTTGTCCCCTCCGTGAAAAGCAGTGGGAACCAATTTGTGAAAGAATTCAGAGGTAATTTTTCATGCCACAAATCAAACATGCACAGTTTTAGGTGGAAGCAGGTCTTTGTTATGTTAGGAGTAATGTCACTAAGCAATATATTGATATTTTAAGAGTGTTGTATTTTAGTTTTCAAAATGAGTCCACTACTACCCAAACTCCTTTGGGCCTTTCTGACAATTTATTTCAAAATCTAATAATACAGAAGATGAAATTTCTATAAAATTCAGAGATGAAACTGAAAGTGATGTTTTGTACTGATGGTGCTGTCTAAAGCAGAGGATTGCTATTATAGGGGTAACTTGTTGGCGAACCTGCTTGACATCAGCAAGTGCTTTTATCATGCTACCCAGTCAGTCACTGGCAGAACATGAATCCCAAACTAAAACTAGGGATTCAAAGATTTTTACAAATACAAATTCACAGAAAATTGGAAGACTACATTGAAGGAATTTCAAATGAAACATGCTAAGTTTAAAATCTTGGTGATTTGCAGAGTGATGGGACTTGCCAATTTTGGAGTGCTACTATCAGGCTTACAAATACTACTATTCGTAATAGTATTACAAATAGCTAGTTCTAATCCTGGCTAAGGTTATGATTGTAGAAGACAGTTATTCCAGATCAATCGGCAGGAAAATCTGTATCTTCACAGAATGACATGAATGAGACTCAGAGAAAACAAAGGCAAAACTTTCTAAGGATCTTGAATAGTTTCAAGAAGAGAATTTGCATTTAAAACAAAAAAATAATTATGTGCATCTCAAGGCAGATAACATGCCTTTGAGTAAGTAAGTAAATAAATAAATAAATAACAGTTTGGAACTTTTAATGGTAGTTTTGGTTTGTTTTAGCTAAAAAGCAATTCAGAATTTTATAAAACATTCTCCAAAATCATGTTCCAAATGCCAATCTCAATGATAAGTTTAACATTTTTATCTACCAAATATTCTGAAAGCTTTGAGAATTTCTTCTAACAAGAGTAGACCCAAACTCAAAATAGCTGAAAAATAATTATTTTTTAAGCCAAAAGGAGGACATGGTAACCTTTGTGCTTAATTCTACAGTAATAGCCCTAAGAAAGGTAGTAAGACTTGATTTAATTAAGATTTAGCTGCCTAAGATTTATCAATCTATTATTTCTACCAAAGGAAGAGAGAAATCTCATTATATGAAAAAATTAAAAATTAACTGCCTTAAAATTTATTTAAAAAAACTTTCCCTTTAACTTCAAAGAACTAGAGGGTTTGCCTTGTGTCATTTCCAAGTCTTGTTTTTAATAAAATAGCTTATTATTTAATTTTTAATAAAATAGTTGTCTTTGATTTCTCTGTTATCATACAACTAGGTGTGATTCATGGGGTACTTGAGGAGCAAATGGATTTAAAACAGAAGCTGACAAGGCAACAAGAAACATACTGTGTATATCCCATGACATGTGACTGCTACTCTAAGGAGGAATTTCAGCTACCTCAATCTTTATTTTGTCAGATTGTTGGGTAGAGATAGGAAAGGAGCTCACAGCTGGGGAGCAAATGGTAAAAGAGTTACTAGAAGCAGGCATTTACAAAAGCTTGCATTTTAACCAGAAATGAAGGTGGCATACCACAGGTTTACTTTCTAAAAAATGATGGCTTAGAATTGATCCAGTATGCAGCCACTAGCCACAGGTGGCTAATTAAATCTCAAGTAACTAAAATGAAAAATTCATTCCCTCCATCTCCCAAGTCACTTTTGAAGTGTGTGATGATCACACGTGGCTACAGATTCTAACAGTATAGATGGAGAACCTATCAGTGCAGACAGTGCTCTGGGAAAGTACTGGCTTAGAGTATGAAGAAAAGAGATGGAGAAAGAGGAAGAATGACCTCAGTGACCAGAGAAATAATTCAGAAAATGGCTATTCATTTTTGAATAAGAATTTCTTTTAGAAAAAGTCCAAATGAATATTCTAAAGTTTAATATTTTTTTTAAGAAAATGATTGGGGTGTTGCTCATGACAGATGAGGTCAAATGCTTTCCTTTGAACTTTATGAAAGCAGCAGCAGCAGGCAATAGCACAGTCTCTACCATACAGATAATAAATGGGGCTTAGGGAGAACATGTGGATACCCCAGATTACAGGGGAAAAAACCTGCATTTCAAGCACTCTTGCTCTCTGCAAAGCCAGAGCCTTTAAGGTGACCCACAGGAACTCCTTGTGAGATGACATTGCTACTACCACTGAACCATCAATGGCATGAAAGTGGGTAACGGCGGATGGATGACTTGTTCTTAATTTGCATTCCTTCTTGCTTAGTCTAATATTTTTTAGATATGAACCTAGTTATTTTCTATTAGCAATGGAAACGTATCATCTTCTAATTTGACTCGATTGCTACTCTGCTTCCAATCACCCGTCAGCTTCTCAGACGTTTCTCATGACAGCTTATGAGATTGTCCCAGATCAGTTCAAATAAAATGAAGTAATATACACATACAATGTTGTTGATATTCCAGTACTACTTTAGATAAACAGGTACTGATATCTTACATAACCTGAGAATCATCAAACTGCTTCAGGTTATGAAAAGTAATTTCAACAAAGCAAAGTATTTAATCTGCTGAAGGCTAAGCTATGTCAAACTAGGATCTTTCCCTTGATATGTAAGTTTCACTGGCCCAAGTGAATCAAACAGAATTGTGCTCCATAGTTTAAAATATCTCAGTCCTTACATGGGTCAGTGTACCATGAAATGACACACAAAATTGTCATTTGTTATTTTGCACTAATAACTTTTTTTGAAGTTCATTTTAAGTTAATTTAATGAGTGATATCCGAGCAACTCTGGTTGAAGATGAACTTGACTACGTTTTTGGAGGAGCTTACCAGGAACATTAGGATAGAACCTGCCTCAGTGGTCAAGGAGGGGCACCCCCTTCTCAGGGCCCCTCATGTCTTACCTGCGGGGTGAGCCATCATCGTGCGGCTGGATGATGACCACCTTCACAGTCACGGAAGTGCGGAGTAGGTCGATCATCTGCTCATGGGTCAGAGTAGCCACTGCCACTTTGCAGATCTCCACAAGGCGGCTCCCTTGGCGAAGGCCAGCCTTCCAGGCAAAGCCAAAGGGCTCCACATCTGCAACAATTCCTTCAAAATTCACGTGGAAGCCAAGCTGGCCCAGCCCGTTCCTCCTCAGGGTCATTTCCACAGTCTCGCAGCCTCTTGTCACTATCTAAGTGGGAAATAGGCCATTAGAAATGCCACAGCGGAGACCCCACATGACAGTGCACTCAGAGAACTCTGTGCCTACTATTACCTTGGCCCCACGGCATCCCCTCTAGCTGTCCAAATAACCAAGACAGTTTCTATCCAGAGTCCAGCAAGGTGGACATGGCACCAGACACACAAAGAAAACAGCAAAAGTAAAACAATGGCTTCATTTTTCAAAGGCAAATCCATTCCTGGTACAGGAGTTCGGCTTCTTCCTTAAAATCACTAACCTTGAGGGCCCTCCCTGCTGGTGCAGTGGGTTAAAGCACAGCACTGAGAAGCTAGAGCCACTTCTGTAAGAGTTCAATCCCTACCTGCCCTAGAGGTGATCCACATGGCGAGGCAGACCTCTTCTGACCCGCCCACTGCTCCCCTCAGCAGCGTACTTCGTTGATCTGTCTGTTTTGCTCCCCACTGTCTCTGGTGAACCCTCTCACTGCCCCTGTATCTCTGGCATGTACCCCAGTTCTGTATGCATAAATAAATATAAAAAAAAATCACTAACCTTGAGCTTAAGACTGTGAGTTTAAGAGTTTAAGACACTCTGAAAACTCCTTCCTCTCCTTGCTAAAATTAACTGATTTGTCTCCTAAGTACATCTATTCCACAGTGAAATGGGAAAAATAGAGACTCCTTTGAGTCTCTATTACATGTTTCACCATGAAGCAGTGAAATCTAACATAATTTCATTCAAAAACTCCCCCCAGGGACTGCTTGGCAACCTGCCCCTGGGATGGGTGATGGTGATGGATGGGCAGCAGCAGTAAGTGCTCCTGTGCACTAGACCTGTGGATAGCCTTCTCTGTCCTCTAAGACTCTCCAGGGCACTGAATGCCCATGCTTGCCTGGGGAGTGAGGACAGTGAAATCAACTGCAGGCCAGCCAGCCCCACTTCTCAGCTGCTGTTGATAAGGGCAGTGTGCAGGCTGGGTGCTCTGGAGAGAGCAGAGATCTGTAGTTGCCTGTTGTCTCTGTCCCACTGGACTGGTCCAACAGGCCTATGGGTAACTCCAAATAGCAGCAGTTTCAGCATCCTGACTCTTCTAGAGAACTTGAATGGGTCTACAGCTGTGTCACAATAAGGGACATGAAAGAGAAAAGGTGGATGGCACTTCAGGGCCCTCCATTCCTGAACATGCCACACCCTGTCCCCAAACCTCTGCCCCTGAAAGTGCTCACTGGGAATAACTTACATGCATTGAAAAAAATGCAGGCTCACTGAACATCTGATGACTACAGCATCACTTATTTGTGGGAAATTCAAAGTTGGGAAGATTGATACCCGAATTCCCAGAAGCACAGAGCTAATGTTTAAAGTTTCAGTTTAATAAATGCTCATTTCCACAAAACCTGCTCTGCATACACAGATTCCTATTTAATAAGACCTGTGGCTGCAAGTGCCACTGTGGGACTTGGGCTGCCTCTGTGGTCCCCCCTCCCCCCAACCCTGCCTGAGGTTTCCATGGTTACCATCTTGAGTACACACACCCACAATCAATTCCTCATAGTCACACAGGATAGTATAGGGGAAGGAAACAGACAAAGTTTTGAAAAATCAACACTTCTGTAGTTATGAACCAAAGTATTTCAAAATTGAAAAGTTACTTCCGTAATGTATGTAACCTGAAAAAATTTTCCCTTCACTTCTTTTCAAGTTGTTTCAACTAAGCGCCCCTAGCCAAAAGACTGCCTGTGAAATGTGCCCTGCCTTCTTTTGATTATTAGTGCAATTTTCAATTAAAATTTGCATCTAGACTGAAGAGTGAATGGTCAAGCGTTTGCTGTGTCCTCTTCTGTTCATTTCCTGTCACCACCCAAACTTTTATTTGTTCTTTCTTTATCCCTTCTGTTTTTTGTTTCTTTAACATGGGCAAAGGCTGCAGGATCATGTTCTCCAGGCATGTGGAATTCCTCACACATTTACATGGACTTAATTATCACGCAAAAATCATGACATTCTCCTCATGACTGGCTGCTTAATTCCTAGGGTGCAGTACAAAATAAAAACATAGTCCCAAAGTATTCAGAATTTCAATATGGGAACAGCAGGGCCTGGGCCACTCTGAGAGTGGGTCTCTATAAGAATTACACCCGTGAAGCTAGCCAGCCCACCCAGTCCCTCTAGTCTTAAGTTTTCATTCCCTTCCTATATAACAGATACCTTTAAATTCACATTCAAACATCATAGAACACACATTGAGTTTGCCATTAACTGAAGAGAGCTTATTCCCAGGATTTCGGCTGTGACTTTGTGGTCTGCCATTTTGATCTCTGTTACTGGCCTGTGCCAACCATATGTTCTAATCATTCAACAGTCTTTGGGTTGCTTTGTTTGCAATGTCTCCTACTTCAAACCATTCTAAACACAGCACAGCTCTCCTCAATATATTCTATTCATTAGGCACTGAGTCACATGAGCAGTCCAGTCACATGTTCAATAGAATAGTAGGATGGGGTCCATGAAACAATGAATGTATGAAAACACTGGGTAAGTAATATGGGATATAGATTTTGGTGGTGAGTTTATATTGTATTTTCAGGAGCACAGACAATGATGACTCAGTGGATCTCCTAAACAGAACTATTTGCAATATAACAAAAGCATAATGTGTCCTGAGATTCACAAGATAACTCAATTCTCCAGGTATATAAACTAATCCACATACTGACTCATTGCCAAATCACATCTATGTTTGAACACATCTACTTGATAATACTGCTGAATACACTGAGGCCTTTTCCTGTGAATAGTGTCTGTGGATAATAAAATTATTTCTCCAAGGCTAGAAGACACTGACTTGATTGTGTTGTCTCTTACACATGGTCTCAAATAACAAAGGAGAGATTTCTATTTGGTGGGAGGAAAGGGACAGGAAATGAGTATAATTTCTCTTTCTTTCATGATCCATAATTGACCTAAATCTTTTCTAGTGAATGAAATCTACATCCTCTTGGTGAAGATTTACACATGAGAAATCCTTTTGTCAAAGCAGGCTTTGTTCTTATATTTTATTTGGTTAATTCCTACAGCTCTGTTTGTATATTCTGAAACTAAAATCTGCATCTTTCTTTGTTAAAATTAGAAGCAGAAATACACTGTCAAAACCACTTAGGGGATCTGTACTAAAAACAACTATCTCTTTTATGATTGGCTTTTTTTTTCCTTATGTCTTTCAAACTTAATGGGTAATTCTATAAAATCTCATTAAGATTCTGTGGCTGGCACTACATTATGATTAAGGGGACAATACAACAAGAAGAAATAACAAACATCAACATATATGCACCAAATGAAGGAGCACCAAAATATATTAGGAAACTACTGTCATTTATGAAAATGTATATCAGAGAGAATACATACATAGTAGGAGACTTCAACACGCCACTCTCAACAATGGACAGATCAACAAGACAAAAAATAAGTAAAGACACTAAAGCTCTGAACAAGGACCTGGACAACATGGGTCTAGTGGACATCTATAGAATACTGCACCCCAGAAAATCTGACTACATATTTTTCTCAAATCCATATGGATCATTCTCTAGGACTGACCACATACTGGGTCACAAGATAAACACCAATAGATACACTAAGATCGAAATCATACCAACTATTTTCTCTGACCACGAAGGAATCAAACTAGAAATAAACCATATGAAGAAGGCAAGAAACCCATCTACCATATGGAGACTAAAATCCACACTACTGGAAGACCACTGGATCAATGAGGAGATCAAAGAAGAAATTAGAAAATACTTGGAGAAGAATGACAATGACAACACAAGTCTCCAAAATGTATGGGACACATTAAAAGCAGTTATAAGAGGAAAATATATAGCAATTCAAGCTCACATAAAGAAACAAGAAATAGTGCAAAGAAACAATTTAATGTCCCACCTTAAAGAATTGGAAAAATAACAACAAAATAACCCAAAAGCCAGCAGAAGACAAGAAATAATAAAAGTTAAATCAGAAATAAATGAGATGGAAGTCAGGAAAACAGTTCAAAAAATCAATGAAACCAAAAGTTGTTTCTTTGAAAAAATAAACAAGACAGGCCACTAGCCAGACTCACAAAGGAAAAATGAGAGAAAGCACAAATAAACAGAATCATAAATGAAAGAGAAGAAATCACACAGACCCAGCAAAAATCAAAAGAATAATCAGAGAATACTATGAGCAACTATATGCAAACAAATTGGACAATTTAACAGAAAAGGACAAATTCCTACAACTCTACAACCACCCAAAGCTAGATAAAGAAGAAATAGAACAGCTAAACAGACCAATTACAAGCAAGGAAATAGAAGAAGTAATCAAAACCCTCCCCCAAAATAAAAGTCCAGGACCAGATGGATTTACAAATGAATTTTACCAAACATTCAGAAAAGAGCTAGTGCCTGTTCTACACAGACACATCCAAAAAAACTGAAAAAGAAGGAAAACTACCACAAACGTTCTACGAAGCCAACATCACACTAATACCAAAACTTAACACAGAAAACACAAAAAAAGAAAACTTCAGACCAATCTCCCTAATGAACACTGATGCAAAAGTCCTCAACAAAATCTTACCTAACAGAATCCAACAATGCATTAAAAGAATAATACACCACGACCAAGTGGGCTTTATCCCAGGAGCACAAGGATGGTTCAACATCAGAAAATCAATTAATATAATCCATCACATCAACCGACAGAAGAATAAAAACCACATAATCGTATCAACAGATGCGGAGAAGGCTTTCGACAAAGTTCAGCACCCATTTATGTTTAAGGCCCTTGAAATCTTCGAATAGAAGGAACATACCTCAACATGATAAAAGCCATCTATGATAAACCCACAGCCAATATTATCCTCAACGGAGAAAAGCTGAAAGCCTTTCCTTTGAAATCAGGAATAAGACAAGGGTGTCCACTATCGCCACTGCTCTTCAACATAACACTGGAAGTTCTAGCCAGAGAAATAAGACAGGAAAAAGGCACACAAGGAATCCAAATAGGGAAAGAAGAAGTAAAACTATCCTTATTTGCAGACGATATGTTAATTTATATGGAAAACCCTAAAAGCTCCACAGAGGAACTAATCAAGGTAGCAGGATATAAAATCAACACACAAAAGTCAGAGGCTTCCTATACACAGACAACCAATCAGAAGAAGCAGAGATTAAAAAACCAATCCCCTTTTCAATTAAAACAAAAAGAATCAAATACCTGGGAGTCAACCTAACAAAGGAGGTAAAAGACCTCTAC